AAGGTTTTTACATTATATTATATAATATATATCATTCTGTCTTATTCAAACGCATACATCTGTTCTTATCTAACATATGCCAGCACCATCTATCACGTAAAGGCTCCGATTGCACACATTGCATGTTGCACACATGCGTCGTTAATTGGCCAATTTAAAAATTAAATATTCTCATTGGTAAAGCAATGAAAAATTACTAGGTACCAGCTGATATGAGTGGTGTGTGCAATCGGGATTGTAGGTAAACGGGATCGGGTGGCACCCAGTTGGACACGGCTCAATTGGACACGAGCCACTCACAGCGCTTGAAACTACAAAGCTTCTAAGCACCGGTCGCTGTGATTGGTGGTGTCCAATCGAGCCGTGGTCAATCGGGATCACCCCATTCAAGTTGAACCTTCCACCGTACTTTCGAAATCGATCGAGTATAAAATCTGAAAAAGAAATGTTAATCGGAGATACTTAATCAATTTTTGTATTATGTGTAACGTTAATCATTTTTTTCGTATATAAACGAACATATATTTTTATTTTCATTTATAGAAATTAAACATGTAATACGTAAATATGAATATATAATAAACTTGAAAATATAATAAACTTGAAAATATAATAAACTTGAAAAAAAATTGTTGTGGATTTATTACGTATCGGCGTCTTGTTACTATTCGTGTACGACATATATGAGAAAAGTGTGTACTAGTAATAAATGTAAAATAATTGTGAATTAAATCTAAAATAAATATTAAAGGAACGTGAAAAGAATATATTTAAGTTACGTGTGCATGTATGTTACAAAAGCCTATAATAAATGTGAAATAAATGTAAAATAAATGTAAATTAAATATAAAATAAATATTAAATGAACGTGAAAAAAAATTTGTTACATACATGTTACAAAGGACTAATAATTGTGAAATAAATGAAAAATAAATCTAAATTAAATATTTTAAATATAAATTAAATAGTTTTTAAATGTTTAATAAATGTTTTTTTTTGCAATGGTAACCTACAAATGTAAAATCAATGAAGAAAAATATTTAAAAAACATTTAATCAATGTTATCTGCTGATTGGGTTAGTATTTAATTAAAAATGTCTGGATGTTGTGTGTTGTTTGTGTTGTGTATTTTGTGTGTGTG